AGTAAGCAGATAATAGGTGTAACTACAGCAAAACCCTAAACCTCGTAATTGAGAGCTATGATGGTTTTTACTACAGTCTCCTAGATTTTGGCTAACCGTAAGGTAGTCTTCCCAAACACTAAATATAAGTGAAACCCAAATCCAGGCATCAAGAAGATTTCAATTTCTCTTTCCTCCTCTTTTCTAACTTCTCATTATTAGTTTTGAAAAACAGTGGGAATTCTTTGGTTTGCTGGCAATTTTTTTTGGTTCCCAGCCTTTCCTGTATAAGCCATTTCTGAAGAAAGCAAAATAATTTCCACAAAGATATTAGTTTTGTCAGAAAACCAATTTCCATTAACAAAAAAACCAAAAGTTAATGATAGTTTTCTATCAATCCCAGTGATTAGACCAGCATGGAAAAAAACAAATGTATCACAAGCAAGAGCAGCATCACTGAAGTCAGCTGAGTTTGCCTTGCTAAGCAGCACCCATAGTGGCTGGTCCCATTAAGAGCATATTCTCCATTATGCAGGCCTCCAGCAAATGCATCATCTTCCCAAGCCCAAAGGCCTGTGATGGTTTTTACCAAACCAAGCAAATTTCCATGTGTCCCCTTAGTTGCTCTCTCTTCCCATTGCCTATCAGTACAGGAGGCAACAGCAGTAACAGCTGAGGAGTATAGGAAAGGCAGACAGGAGGGGGAGAAAAAGCTCATGGGACGGAGGTATTTAATTAAGGGGCTCCTCTGCTCTGGTGTTTCTCTTCTCCATTTTCAATGGCGTTAGATGTTCTCTGTTCTGGCACACTGCATTGCAACAAGCTCTTCCACCACACTCATGGGCTGCTTTCCAGACCCTGATGGATCTTACCTCTGGAAATGTCCCTCATGTGATGTATCTTTTCACACTTTTGCCTGTGATGGGAACAGCATGCACCAGCTGTTCTCGCAGCCATAGCCTTCCAGGACTTCCCCATGGGAAAAGTTACTGCCACCTTGTCACTACTATAAAATGCAATCTGTGGACTTGCACAAAAATTAGCCCATGCTCCCTTAAACACTTGTCTTGACCAGGAGCTTCTGTTGGCTTTGAAAAATGGCCTGCAGAAAACTACACTGCAAGTGCAACTGCTTGGGAAATAAGGCAGACAGAGGAAAATATCCCCAAACCTCGCATCTGTTTCTGTTCCCTGGCATAGCAGGTGTTCTCATTTTCTTTTGGAAAAGATTATTAGCAAACTTCTAAAATGGGTGAAATTCCAAGGCTGTCCTGAGCAACCTACTTACCCTGCCCTGCTCCCAGAAAATGGCATGCAGTGCTGTGGAGAAAAGGGCTTGTGGAATAGCCTATGTCAAGCCCATAGGACCTGAACTGCTCCTAACATGATCTTCAGTCATAAGAAATCCACGTTCCTGGTACTGGACAGATTAACTACTCAGATCAGTAGCTATCCATACTTTCTGTATGCGAAGTAGGGGCTGCAATAAACACCCATCTGCAGCAATAGTGTGCCTTTATAGATGTTTCCTTTGCTGTCCCCAAGCACAGCTTGGCTTTTGTTTTGCATGAGGCTGGAAATCCTCTGAAACAGCTAACGGATGCTGATTCACAATGCTGATACTGTAGAAATAAGTTTCCTTTCCTAAAGGATTATGATCTGAGCAGAGTGACAAGTATACAAGCTTGTCCTGGTTACACTCATCCAGCCTGGCCACTTAGCTGAATATCTAATGTTGTGAAAGAAGGTAAAAAGAAAACCACCTCTGGAAACTGATGTACAGAGTGCAACGCTTACCCGAAACTGAAGCATAAAGACCAAATTGTGTGGCAGGACTGCCTAGCCCTCCTCTTCACTCACCTCTGGGGACATTCCTTGTGCACAGCAGGATCCAGCTGACCTCTCCCAAGGCACGTGGGCCACTCCACATCAGGTCCTGGGATCATCCCCTGTGTTCCAAACAAGGAATGAGAGCTCATCCTTGGGACCCTGACTGCCCTTTGGCTGGTGGTAGTGAGGAAAAGGTTTGCACTTATTTCTCACCCTGGCAAGGGTGCAGGGAAGCAGCAGGGCCAGACCCACCTGCATCCTCCCGACCTACTCACCCCCTCAGACTGCTTGGAAGGACCAGTTCTTCAAGTACTTGCTCTCTACAGAGGAGACCTGGAAGCTCCTGCAGCTGCAGACCACAAAACAAGAGTTCTCCCAATCATTCTCCATCTTAGACAGGTGAGGGCATTGCACCCAGATGTTATTTTCTCACCATCTCTCCTCATGACAGCACTGGGGCAGGCATCTGAAGACCTGAAGCAACCATTGCGCTCAGCTTATCATTTTTTAATGAAGGCAAAGTCTGCCACAAGGATGAGCCTTTTTAGGTGCCAAGCCTGAGACACATCCGAAAAAAACAACATCCATACAAAGTGATTTCATGGTCAGTGACAAATCCATATTTCTTCCTCAAGCTGCTGCAAGCATGAAAAGCCTAGGCATTTCTTATCCATTTGCAATAGGAGGACAGGGATAGCAGACAGGGACATTTTCTGCACAAAGTGAATCATTTCAGCTCAAAAGTCTTTCACAAATGTCAACAAGCTGCCACCCATCTAGCAGAGCAGCTGTGGTACCTTGTTACTGTGGCTGCTTGCAGCGGATGGGAGAGGAGTGCTTTAGGGACAGAACTGGAAAGCATGTCAAGCAAAAAAAAGCAGTGTCAGGCTCAGGGTGAAATTTCCTACCCACCCTACACCAACAGTGAGTGGGAACCTGCTTACGGAAACAGGCTGGCATTACTTGTTGGCATTGTTTTAGAAAAAAGTTTTCATTTCAGTCTTGGAAAACCCCAACCCAAAATATGTGTTCCTCAGTCGTTGCAGTTATTCAGGATTTCACATGTATGCCTTTCTGTAAATCTGTAGCAACCCTGAAAGCACACATAGCAAACCAAAATGGTCTCACTCATTAATTAGCAGCCATTCTGGGATATTTGGGGATGCGTGATCTTTCTTTGACAGGTACTCAGTGATGACAGGCACAAAACTCCTGGGCCACAAAGCCAAAGTATCCTTATACACATCTCAGGCTACAGGCAGCAGGCGCTCACCTTCTGGAACTATTAGAAGCAAGCATCTCTTTACAGGATAATGAAATACAAACAAGCAAAGTATGTGCCTCTGGGCACTGAAAAATATGTTCAAAATCCTTCATACATGTGCAATTTTATCCAGTGCTAGTAAGCACATATATTAGTTCCAGTGTTTTGCTGACTAATGTGTTGCTTTAACTGACTTGTTAAACAAACTGCTAGAATAACATGCTCTGCTGATTCATCTCTCCCCCTCCCCCCCCCCCCCCCCCCCGTGGATGTTATTCTCAACTGGATATGTGAAGTACGCTTTCTTCCACAATTTCCTATAACTTCTATTGAAGATTTTTCAATTCAAAACCTGACATAGTTTTCCATTTGCTTGCAATGTGCATCATGAGTTTCTACAAATGATATAAAATTTAAGGATAAAGGAATTTTTATGAAACAGAAAACAATTAGAAGATCTGTGTGGAATAATCTGTATTTTATATTAACATATTATACATCTCTCACAGAACATTAAAAAAAAATCAGAAAGAGGAGCAATTGGTGTATGGAAAAACTGAATTTCTGAAAAAAAAATCACAAAGACATCACGAACTGTCAGCCCAGCATACAAGTCAGCCAGATTTTTCAACTAAGAGTCAATGAATGTGTTTGATTTTCATTATTAGTATTATTTCATTATTTCAAAACTTGCCCTGATGCCCTGCTGGGACACACCACCAGTATTTTCAATTAAATAAGGACTGGAGGGTTGTTAGGTGCCAGCAGCAGAGCTGTGCTGCAGGAGACAGTGGTCAGGTTTCGGACAGAAAGGTGTCGGGCAGAACCTGTGCCTACTGCCGCACAGAGCAGACCACAAGTGGAGGGCAGAGAGTGGCATGGAGGGGACACTCACCTCATTGAAACGATTTGCACAGCCACAGCACAACACCAATTTCTAACATTGATGGTGAGAAGAATTCTAAATGCCATGAAGTGTATATTGACCAGGCTTGAGTTCCCTGAGGGGAAAACAGAGCTTGGAGAGCATGAGTTTCTGGTCCCTCTGCCTGAAGTGTCATGGGCATGCCCTGTCACAAGAAGAGGGAGCACAAAGATGGATGGATGAACAGCCTCCCCCAGAGCCTGCATCTGCCCAGGAAGGTGGGATGCTGGCATCCCAAGGCAGATGTGAGGAATTTCAGCTCCTATAGCATGACCACGAGTTTCAGCAGCTCAGCATTTTACCCATTTTATTAATTTCAGTCTGTGAATGGGAGATTCAACCAGACAGACAGAAAATCAGGAACTAGCACATCTGCTGTGAAAAGCTGAGTCCTAGAGAGGATGGAGGGCTGTTAAATGCTAATAGCAGAGTTGCCCTGTAAGAGACAAAGTCATCTTGAACCCGGCAGATTGGTCAGGAAATCAAAACAGACATCTTTTAGGGTCCAACTTAAAATGTGACTTTTCCTTCCTACTGTGAGAAACATCGTCATTAAACCCTTTCAAAATGTGTGGTGTGTTTATTTTAACTGTTGTATGTCCCTGAGAAGCTGGCCCATTAGACAGAAGGCAGTGAGGGCTGAAATGTGTAGGTTTGGAAGGGGGTGGGGAGGGGAGGATGACCCAACACAGCAGCGTGGTAAGCAAGGGAAATAATACATCCAACAAGGAGATAGGTTGAGCCTCACTAAGATGCCTGCTGTTGAAGAATAAAACTTCTCAAGGAGGAAACTAAAAAACGTTTTCTTAGTGACAGAGAAGAAATAGGTGAATTCAGGAGAAAGCTGACCAGGAAAGACATGCCTATGAACAAGAGCTTAGTCGTGTCAGAAAAGATACAGCAGGAATAAAAACAAAGGATTGCAAAGATGTTTGGAGACATGAGAATGCATCTGCTGGTAGAAAGAACCAGTGAAAACTGCTTATTTTAAAGATTAAGACTGCTTATTTTAAAGATAAAGACAGTGCTGATACAAAGACCATTTAATTTTGTTTTTCTCTGGATCATGAGCAATGATAGACATACACTGAGTAATGAATGACAGCTTGAGGTCAGCATCTGATGAGGTTCACATTTGTGAGGTCCTCATCACTGGCATTTCTGAGCCCACACTGGATATCTCATAATAAATGGGTAAGAAAGCTGAAAAGTGGCCCAACAGATTGAGATCAATAAAAGGAAGTCTATTGGGTGTATACTGCAGATCAGTAACCTATTTAAGCCACTCTTGCAAAATACACTCAGGATCAGGGACTTTATGGCTAGAGACCATCCATAGCCCAAGCTTGTGTTTTATACTGCAAGTCAGTGTTTGTACTCAGAATGAGTAAGTGTTCATAGTTCAGAAAAGCTTTTCCAATAGCCAGCATATTGTGTAATCATTCCTGTTGAGATGTGCAGCACTTTTCACTAAAGCAGATAGTAGTGGCAGTTGTTGGGGATGAACTGCCAGGGATGTGGTATAGGAGTGGATATTACAGCACAGAAAAATGTCTGTGTTTCCAGAAAAAAAAAAAAAAACAACAAACACATATTTTAGCCAAACAATTGGTTTCTGTCAATGATCTTAGAATGACTGAGAAGACATCACCTGTTTTGTAGGAAAGAGACTTTGTGAGATTATTTGTCCCTTCTCCTTCCTGGGGAAAAGCAGCTGCATCCACACCAGGCAGATGGTTTTCAAACTCATTCTTAAAAGTCACCAACAAGATTCAGAAGTCTCCTAGAAAACCGTCGTAGTCTTTCCCTATCCTTATATAATATGGCATAGCTGCAAAAAAAATTAAATACCTCCTCCAGTTATTTCCTCACTAGTAATTCCTTGCACTGTTACAACACAAAGCACAGTCACTGAGAACTCAATCTTTTAACATAGAGCAAGAAAGTCTAGGTGAAGTTTCTGATGAAATTTCTTAACATCAGGACTTCCGAGCTTCTCTTCCGATTTCTTATGTCTCTGTTCCCTCCCAGATGGTCTGATACACAGAAATTCGGGAAGAATGATGTCTCCAGGAAGAAGCAAAGGTTAGATGATTTTTTGATTGGAAGCTAGTATCAGCAATAAATATAGAGCAGCTTCTGCTGCTTCTTACCATAAACCTTTCTGAGAGGCTGAATAGACTTCGCATTTCCTTAATAGAGATACATTTTCTCAATTTAAATTCCTCTGCAAGTGAAATACTGTTTTCACTGGTATTGCAGTAGGAAATAAATTCAGTATTACAAATTCTGAAATAGATCACATAAATTGCCTTAGCTGCTTTGATTGCAATGCAAGTCTGACAACCCACACAGCTGAGCCTCTGTTTCTCTATCTAGATAGAAGATGGTGTCCTGACTGCCACCTTATAAGCAGAGCAGGTGAGCTGGCAGTGAAGATAAGACTGAGAGAGATCTGCTGACATAAGGTTAATACAGACATTTCTTTCTTGATAGTGTTTGATTTTCAGAGACTCTCGAGAATTTAGAGTTCGAATCCCTGAGATTCATGATATACTGTGCTATATAAGGTCATTCATGTCACTGACAACTTTATGGACAATATCTCTTGCCATCAGATAGCATTCAATATGTGCAAACACAGGCTGAAAACTACATTCATTTTTCGCTGCAGCATTGTAGGTCCATTCTCCTGAACTTCTGGGAGCATAGTTTATCTTACTTCTGCTGAATTAATAATAAGAGAGTACAGGAAATATTAGACCTACCTCTCAGAGAGGCAAGCTTTCATGGGGAAATTAAGAGATTAATCTCTTCATCTAACCAGAGCGGTGGCTGCTGATGAAGCAAGGATAGTTACTAAAATGCTGATGGAATCCAGGCCCATATTCAGGCTCCAGCAGCCCCATTTTCCCTGACTTAAGACGTACGGTCAGTGAAAATTGGTACCAGCATGCATACTAGTTCATAATGAAAAGCCATTACATCTCAGAGCCTGAAAACACATCATCAGCCTCTTGGACTTGTGAAGTTGAGCTAAGTGGAGACAGACTCTCCTTTTAACTCTACTTTCCTTTTACTACTGAAACACCATGACCTTTCTCACAGAACAATTTTATGACAACTCAGGTCTGAAGAAACATTTCTCCCCTCAGAACACCAGAGGACAAATGAACAGACCTTTACAGAGCCACACAGGCATTGTACCAGTCACTTGATCCCACATTTTTCACCTTAAAGAAGTATACATTTTTAGCTCTACTCTGTCCAGGCTGCTAACCCTGGTGATATTTAAACTAATACCACAACAGGCAAAGACAGAACACTCTAAAAATTCCTTCTCCTAGGGAGGTAATGAAACACTGTAGAGTAGAATCATAGAAATAGTGATTCTAGGGGATGAAAAAGCAGGCAGGTTTGGTGAGCAATATTCATCAAGGAGAACATGAGTGATGCAGTTATCCCTAGAGGCCCTGTTTCTGTCCTGCTCTACACTCTGAGGACTTGAGAAATGTCAAAGCATAGGCAGCCTAAAAGAGCAGCAACTCACTCATTTGGTTTTCTTTGTCTTGCCAAGGACAGACATTCAAAGCTGATCTACAATGCCTATGAAAACATTTGCAGTTCCGTCCTTGAATTAAGCAGGAAAAATTATTCATGTAATGAATAAACACAGGCAGATCTCCAGAGCATTAGAGGGATATTTTTAGAAGAGATGGAGGGCTTTTTAAGACTTTCACACATTTTTGTGGGCTTATTTCAAACATCCACACGTGCTTTGGTAACATCACTTGAACTTCAGAGGACAAGATGTTAGTGCTCGGGGCAGCTGGGCTCCAGGCAAGAAGAGGTATGGTGGTTGCATAGCCACAGCCTGCTGGAAGTTGCTACAACTTCACTAGATTATAGGGAAAAGATGTCAGGTTGTAAAGTCAAAGCTGAGAAAAGATGTGCAATATATTATATATGGCAAATGTTGGGTGCTGTGGGCTTTCCTTCTCTCGCTAGCAGAAGAATAACAGCCACTAACTCGATTTTGACAGTGAGATTGGATAGAAAAGAGGAAGAAAGTGCACAGATACTACATAAATAAGTATACACTAATACAGGGGAAACTTCTGTCTGTGGGTTGATGTGTGCATGTGCATCTACAAACACATGTCAAGTGAGCTAGCTGTTCATGTACTACAGCTTCTTGGGCTGGCATAAGTGGATGTGGCAATAGACCATGAGGGAGCTATGTCCATATCATTCCATCTGTGAAAAGGTGTTTTCGATTTGCATTGTCATACAGCATCTGATGTATGCAGCAGACAATAAATGATGTCTTTGTTTGTTTTTTTCTTTGATATAATGATTTTGGAGTAAACAAACATTTGTTCCTCTTTCTTTTCCAGTGTAAAGATAGTCACAGACTTATCGATAAAGGAGAAAGTTCTCAAGTGGCTCAGGCAGGTGCAGCTTGCGGACTGCATATAGACACGACCGACCCAGATGTTTTCTGATACACAACCGGCACAGCTGGGCAAGGCTTGCAGGACCTGAGGTGAAAACAGGAAGGAACAGGAAACCCCAAACCCACCACCAGTATAAGTCAGAAAGCAACAAACACCAGCAAGATTTGCATACCATATCAAGCACTACCCAATGACTTGCTGAAGTCAGGGAGAGCTAAACATATTATTGTTCATATTTAATATCTGTTGTCAAAGTTGGTTTAGTGACTTGAAAACTATAAGCACTAAAAACCTCTTTCTGCATGCATGGCTAGGCTCTTCTGCATCTTTTCTTGAGCAAAAGCTTAAAATACCATTAAAGTGTCTGCACTTGAGAAAGAGCACTAGTGTGCATAGCCCTTGCTCAAGATACAAGAAAACTCCCAGTGATTTTGTGAGGAAAAAGACAAGACTGATTACAGGGAGCTGCAGAGGAGGTGCTTGGTGTAGAACAGCCATAATTGGGTGGACATGGCAAATACAGTTAGTTGTCCATATGCACAGAGACACCAACTGCTTGTGTCTCAGCAGGTACCTGCAGCTTTTTTACGTGACCACACTGTCTCAGAATATTTATGTATGTCGGTCTGTTTATCAGTGCTCCTCAAAATAATTTATTATGCCATGGAATTCTAATTAAGTCTTATTTTCTATCTTTCAAAGACAGAAAGTCTCTAAAAGTTTTGTGCAAAAAGGCACAAAGAGTGGAAAAAAAAAAAAAAGGATCAACTTATTAATAAGTAAATAAAAGATGAGAGGTCATTTTGCCCTTCCCTTGCCTTGGGGGAAAGGTTGCTGCATGTGAAAAACTCTTGTTAAACACCAGAGAGTCCACTTGTAGGAAAGCTGTCAGAGGACTTATTGGGACCATGGTGAGGCCAGCTTGGGCAGCAATGCTGCCCTAGTGGCTTCCCCATGGGATGACCAGGCAGATGCCCCCAGCCCACCACGGGTCAGGTGAGGTGCACATCAGGCACAAACCCACTGGAAATAAGGCTCCGTTGCTTCCGCAACTGCATGCTTGCATGTGCAAATGCAACTTGCTAGGAAATGTGTCCCTGCCTCCGCTTTGCTTTTCTCTTGCTGGAGCTGCTTCAGGTTGAACCTTTGCTCCTACTCAGACATGCTCAGTTTTTTGAGCCCTCTCAGTTTCTGGCCAAACAGTAGTGATCACAGCAGTATTTGACAAGCAATGGGTAGAGATGTGTGCTAAAACCCCATACTTATATCTTCCAGGTAACCTATGCTTTTACTACAGGAAAATTTAGAAGCTTAAAAAGGCTGACAATGTCCCCTCTGAGCAGAAATTGATAGAAAAATATGGGATATCTAGAAAAAAGCACTTGTACCACTGCCACTGGAAGTGAAGAAAGATCTTCTGTCTCCCAGAGCAGTCAGGAAAACAGAAGTATTTCATATTTCACATCACTTAATAGCTAGGAAGAGAAGCAATTAAAGGGAGACTAACTGCAGCAGAGAAGTCAGGGAGTAGAAGGAAAACTTTTCTACCTGAGAATGCTTATTTCAAAGAGAAGGACCTCAGAAAACACAGAAATGTGGGAAAAGGGCACTTGCAGATATTAGAGCTGCAAAGTACCTGACAGAAAACTGAAGGGACAGGTGAGGAAAATGAGGAAACTGAATTTCTGAAAAGTGAAGAAGCAGCGAGAGCTGACGTGCCCCTATAGTTCCTCTGGCTGTAAGGGAGGAGAGAGTGACAAGCTGAAAGGGGAAATCAAGAAGAAAGCTCACGAAGATAAAATAACTAATATTGGGATATTTCTTTACCTACACTAACTCTTCTTCATGCAGGGCAACTGGAGCAGGACAATTGCAAGCACTGCCTTTGCTCACATACCCTGCTGTTGCTGAGTCCGGAACATCTCAGATACAAGGACAGAAGTCACAAGAGGTGAGAAGCATTCAAGTAAAAGTCCTCCCAGAAGGCTTTAAACATGACAAATTGAAGCTCTGCATGAAAAGCCACAGGGAAAATGAGTAGGACGGAGGATATTAAGCCAATGTGTCATTTCCTCCATAAAACCCACCTGTGTGCAGACAGCTGACACAAAGCCTAATATACAACATTGACAGTATTAATTTACCATCCAAGAGCTATTTTGCAGCTGGAAGAGGGCTTTCTATGCACATCATGCTTTGCTCTTTGGTGGGGAGCGAGCAGGCTCAGGAAGGTGGAAAGCTGCCTGCATAGGGGAGCACCATTTACCTGCCATGTTGACAAAGCACCAGGGAGTGATAGATCAACTAACAGGGTACTAGTGAGCTGGGAAACACAGAGGCTAGAGGAGAGGGGTGACATAATTCAGCATGCCCATATCCCAGGGATATTGCTAGTTCTGACTGTATGTGGTGCAGGTGAAAATGACACAAGAAGATCATTTCTGCTCAGAAGTTTCTTCCAGTAGACTGGAAAAATAATTTCAAGGAGACTGAAAATAAGCTGCAAGAAGCACTGCTGGTTTGTGCTGGGGTTGCAACCCATTGAACCACATGGAAGAGCTCCGTGCCATGAAGCTGGATAGTCGCTGGGCAAATAGCTCTGCTTTCTCCTGGCAACTGAGGGCACCCACATTCGTATTTCATTTTCTGCAGGAAGCAGGACATTAAGCCATGGTGTTAGGCTGAACACAAGATAATGGTACTAAAATATTATCATAGAATTACTGAATCATAGAATAGTTAGGGTTGGAAAGGACCTTAAGATCATCTAGTTCCAACCCCCTTGCCATGGGCAGGTACACATTATCTATGAACAAATTCTTATAGCAGCTTTTAATCCTTAGAGTCCCATAGGTAAATACATATCATTTTGCTTCAGAAGACAGAAAAGCACAGAAAAACTGACCAATTTACCCACTGAAATCCTAACACTTGGTGACAGATTTAGCAGCAAAACAGAGATCTCTAACTCATTTGTGTGTCACACGCTGCAGAATTGTAATTGGTAGAGAAAACAAGAGAACTTATATAGAGCATCACTTATAAAAGCAGTTAAGACAATGTACTTAGCTAAAAGAAATAAATGTTGTTCTACTTAATAAGAAAAAAAAAGAAGAAAGGAAACTATTACCTTCCCGAAGCAAAAGTGCCTGCTCCACTTTGCTGTTGGGTATGGCAAGATCCAGGGCACATTTGAGTTCGGCATTTCTGCATTTTGGGTTAGCACCATAGTCTGCCAGCAAGACAACTACTTCCACATTGGATTTCCTTGCTGCTGCGTGGAGGGGGGTGTCTGATCGCTTCCCCATGTTAACGTTGGCTCCTTGAGTGAACAAGAGCATGTGGTTAGATCTGGGATGCAGCAGGGACTGTCTGAACATACATAATGGGCTGGTTTCCACCTGTAGCCTCAATAACCGAAGGGGAACAGATGGCACACAGACCTCCTTCATTTTCTTCAATAGCAGCAGTGCAAAACTTAGCAGGTCAAATACCTGCTGTGTAAAGGTCCTCTGAGCCACCAAACTCTGTCTGCGATGGACAGTACTGAGCAGTTTAACCCCCAACCCAATGGATGTTTGAAGCCTACCATATACATATATTTGTTAATAACATAAAATCTAACATAGATCATGTTAATTCAATTACTGAGGAGAGAGGAACCCTTTAGGTATCTAATTTTAATAACTCTGGGAGCACAGCAAGCGACATGCTTCCCTAGGCTCTGCAGGCATTAGGAGGGGCCCCATTTTGAGCAGGTCAGCTAATGCACACTGACAGCAAAAATTTGTGCTAGCTCATAGACTTTGCCTGGACCTGCAATGATTATTCTTTCAAACAGCTTTACAAACTGGATTATTCTTTCAAACAGTCTTCATCATCCACTGAGAAGTGCTTAGCATGGCAGTTTATCATAATCACGAGTTGATTCTGGGCACTAGTATTAACCAGCATTGCCTGTGCTTCATGTTATCATTCTAGAAAACCAGAACTATTTATTTTATTTTCACATTCAGACAGTCTCAGGGAGGTCTCTGTAATTAGGGCTTTCTTTCCTGAGGAAGTGATAAAATCTTCTTGAAGGCAGGTGAAATTTTCAATAGCCTGAAATGAGACTCCCAGCCTCATTTGGGAGCCTGAAATGAGGCTCCCAAGCACCTCTTCCAGGAATAACCCATACTGTTTGCAGTGGAGTGGCAGCCTGGAGAAACCAGCAGCGCTGGCTCACACCATCACAGGTGTCCCTTGGCCCCTTTTCCAGGTGTACCTAGCTCCAAAAGCTTTTTGACACAATCTGTCCTCTGGTATGTACAAGCCACATAGAGCGGGGTCCCATGCTGCAAGTCTTCTTGGTCAATGTCAACTTCATGGGCCAGAAGGATCTCCATGCACTCCCTGTGACCTGTGGAGAGAAGAGGAGCTGTGACTGAAGTGCTGCAGAGCAGAGTACACCCCAATACAACCACTGAGGCAGAAGAGCTGGGAATAAGCCAAGCCTATTTATCCGCACCAGCATGGACAAGTTGGGGGTTTTAAAAACACTTTAACATCAACAAAAGATGTATTCCTCAGTTATTGTTAGCTTCACTTGGAGCCTGAACATTACCTCTCTTGACCGCTTCGTGAATGGGTGAAGGAAGGTGGTTCCTGAGCTGTGGCTTGGCTCCAAATTCAAGCAGCATGTTGACACAGGCCACGCTGCCGCTGCAGCAAGCATTAAACAGAGGAGTGATCCCATCAATGGTGACTGCATTGACCTGGAACAGCAATACATGCTCAGAATAATCCAATTTAAGGGGAACGCCCTTGCAGCATTTTTCTTGTGCACACCAGAAATACACTAGGATAAGATGCTTGTCTTGTTTAATTTCAGGACTGATTTTGTTAACAGCTTTCAGAGTTATATGTTGCGGCACAACATGTATAACACTGTCCTGCAAAGTCTGCCCTCTTTCCCAGGCAGCTAGTGCCATAAGGCAGTAACACTGCCTGCTGTCCATGCTCCTCACAGATTTCTTCAGAAAAATCAGATTTTAATGTTTTTGTTTGTTTTTTTTTTTTTAATGTGGAGAACTGGAGTATCTGCATGTCTGTCTTGTTTGCACCAACCCAAAGCCAGAGTATGCTCTGATGAAAAGGGCCTTGTTTTTAAAGAAAACCATTTACTTTACATTTAATACTTTTACTTGAAAACACTTTTCCAGCAGAAGGAATTTTCATGGAAACATAGTCTTAATTCCAAACAGAAAAGGAGCTTGAAAACATTTGTGTTCCTATGCATGGGTGTGTATGGGTGCATTGTTCATTGTTTAAATTGCATGAATGTTCTTAGAAGGGGGGGGTAGGTAACTTAGAGATACATCCTGTTACAGAACGTTGTGCGCTGAACAAATAAACACATAAGGAGTGGAATTTATGGGGGCTAAGATGGCGGTCAGACTTGTGATAGACGTAATGTTTCTCACCCGGAGACAAGACCCCAACAACAGGTGGAGAGGCCCCGGAAAAGAAGACAACAGGATTGGCCGAAACCCAAGAAGCCCGGGAAACCAAAAAGTATAAGAGACTATCCCCAGAAGTTCCCCTTGTGCGTCTCGGGCGGAGCGGAGACTCCCCAGCACACCCAGCGCTGCTTGCTTGTTGTCTCTCAATATTAATTATAATAAAAATCAATTAAAACAGATTGGCTAGGTTTTTATAACACCCCCAGAGGCAATTTATGCAGCAAATCTGCATGTCTGTGGCATGCTGGAAAAGGGCAATGGATTATTGCACATGGCGATCTGCGTGACTCCCAAAACAGGGAGAAAAGAGACAGGAGAGGAAAGGCTGGAGAACTCCAGGGCCACCAGGGAAGCTGCAGAACTTTGCTACTTGTGCAAGCACACAGCTGCATCAGAAAGGGATTGGAAATATGGAGTAGAAATACCTTGGCTCACAGAAGTTAACAACCAAGGTATTTTTGCCTTTAAAGCAGAGAAAGGTAGTGTTGTTTGGAAACGTATTGGTTTATCATGGGTAATTTAGCAGCAGACCGCCTGCAGTTGATACCTTCCTAGGTAACATTTTGGTTTTTGTTCATTTGAACTACTAACTTGATTGCAATGCTGTGTGCGTTAACTCCTTTTCTCATAGGATGCTTTTCCCACAATTACAAGCCAGCTCTTGCCATTTCCAGTGATTCAGTCTTTGCCAATGCAAGGCCACATTCCCCCGCAGGAAGCTGCACTTGCAGACTAGGCAGGTACACTGGAGGAGGCAGCCCCTGCTCTTTGGTGCATTCTCTGCTTGCTCACCTTCATGGAAAGACAGTGGGGGGAGACCAGATCTGTCTAGACTGTAGTGACAGGACAAGCGGTAATGGGTTCAAACTTTAACAGGGAAGATTTAGGTTGGATATAAGGAAGAAGTTCTTTACTGTAAAGGTGGTGAGGCTCTGGCACAGGTTGCCCAGAGAAGTTGTGGCTGCCCCATCCCTGGCAGTGTTCAAGGCCAGGTTGGACGGGGCTTTGAGAAATCTGGTGTAGTGGAAGGCATCCCTGCCCATGGCAGAGGGGTTGAAACTACATGATCTTAAGGTCCTTTCCAACCCAAACCATTCCATGATTCTATGACAGGGCCAAGAGGTAGCCAAGCCAGCACAATATGGGGTGACACTAGGTACCACAGCATAGGGGACATCTGTCTGCTCAGATTATGGAGCCTAAAATGTGGTTTGCTCTTCCTGAAATTGCAAGGCTCCAATTGCAACTGCAACAGCATCGTCAGTACAGATCCCAGACTCTTTGTTGATCTTCCTCCCCTCCTATTAATTGCCGATCTAAACTATCCCTTATTCTGCACAGCTTGCAAAACAGCAAAAAGAAAGAAATAGCTAATGCCTTGGGAGTATCTGTGTTTCAGACAGATTACATGCTACCTCCCATGTCACCCCAGTCTTATTGGGCAGATGTGGCTGGAGCTGATGGAAGCACTTTGAGAGTCTATCAATCAGCACCATTTCACAACCACGCCAGCGATTCAGGCAAGCTGATAATCACAGGTAAGAAAGGTGATAAGTGATGAAGAAAATTGACTTCCCTGGTTCCCTTCTCCACTGGATACTGGTTTAACTGGTAAAATAGGGAAGACAGTTGGTGTGGAGTAAGTAGTTTGGTAAAAAAATGGAAATAAAGAAGAACAAAGGAAGAAAGGAGAGCAGCAGAATGGCACGTTTTCCCAGAAGTTAGACAACAGCCTGCTGACTTTATTTATGAACAGAGAGCAGAGGGAAAGCAAAAACCAAAAATGTCACAGCTATATATTATACCAGGAACAGTCTGATTTCTTAGGAAATCAACAGGTAGTTCAGAGATGATTCTCTGAGTTATAAAAAGACAATATTATCAATATACCAAACATAAGTAAAACTGAGCAGAAAGAGATTTTCCTTTCATCTTTCTAAAGAATTTAAATTTGGTATACAGTTTAGGAAGTTAATATATTTTCTTCTGCAGATAGCTTGATTGACTGCTTCTGGGTCGCTCAGTTTCTTGCCATATAAATTGTACTTGAAAACCAAGCTGATTGAAATATATTCTCACATATTTCATCCATTCCTCTATCTCCACTGTTAACATGTATTCTACCTTAGGTCGAACTGGGAGAAATCTTATTTTAGTAGCAGATAAAATGTTTCATTGCTTCAAGCACATCTATTTTTACTTATGCGAGATTTCTAAACCATCCCACAGAAAACCAGAGGCAATTCCAGTGATCATTATGGGTGAAGGAAGGGGATAAGTCATTTTTTCAAGATTATTTGCACCTTGTTCCTTTTCCATCAGTTACAACTACATTTCGGATACAGAGGGAAAACAAAACAGAGGAATAGGGTGACTCAAGCAGCCACTGGGGAAAGGCAAATACAACACCCACAGAAACAGAGAGCTGTTTTATTTTTCCCTGTTTCTGCCCAAGATACTTCTGTCCATTTGCATCCCTGCCTTGCTACCCGGGCAGTCCATCCAACATCCCTACTGATGGAAGGAGTATCCTTGCTCCAAGTGCCTGCATCCCTGCCAGCATCCCCAGGACTCACCTGAGCTCCATTCTCCAGGTGCCTGCATCCCTGCCAGTATCCCCAGGGCTTACCTGAGCACCGTTCTCCAGCAGCACTTTTGCACAGGCAACGTGGCCACCGAGACAGGCCTCATGGAGAGCCGACACACGGTCCATTGTCAGCAGGTTCACATTGAAACCCTGCAATGCAGGGTAAGAGGTGTGAGGGGAAAGCACTGCCCAAACCACATGTCTCCCCCCACGCCATGTTGGGTGCAAAGGGAGGTCAGACCATGGCAGGGGAGAGCCACCTTGATGGGTGCATATCCAGGGGAGGTGCATGGGTTGGATTAATGCTGTTCAGTGCTTCAGTGCTCATGCCCAAAGACAGTAGCTGGTGATTGGGTTAAAGTAAGCAAGGACAAGCTATGCTTTCTATTTCTATAGAAATAGAAGGCATAGAAATGCCTTCTATTTCTATGCCTTCTTCTTCTATGACAATGCACAGTCAGTCACAGGAAAGGCATTGCTTTTCTTTAACTTGAAAGGGTGGCATTACCTTTGCTATTAAGTCCAGCACCAGGAGCTAGAGCTGGTGGAATTCACCTCCCTGACTGGGGATGGCTCTGGCACAGGTATCAGCAGCTCTGCTGGAGCCGTCGTCTCCTTCAGTGGAGATAAACAACCCCCCTAGGATATGATTCATTTCATGCTAAACCAGCTGTTTGTAGTAAGTCAGGTGAACTGTGTCCTAAAAATACTTCCACTGACTATATAGTGCACCCAGTGTGTTTCACTCAGCGGTAGTAAGTACCTGGTAAATCCATAAGGTAGATGAGACAAATCCCACCCACGAATCAGTTCCTCTCATTTGACCACCCAGGAAACATTTTACATTGGAAGAAAGAACTGTGACTTACAAATGCCTTATTCCTAGATGACAGTTCTTGGGTTGATTTTGCACAAACAGAAAACAAACATACTCACAGAGGAGAACGCATTTGTCACATGCGTTTTCTCCAGAATGCAGCTAAATCTCCTAGTAATTAAGATTTTATAACCATGTGTGAGAAGCAGCTCAGTTTTTTGTTTGTTTGGGTTTTTTTTTGTTTGGTTTTGGGTGTGTTTTTTTTTTTTTTTGCGGAATGTCTTATGTTTTGTAACATCATTGGTCTCTACCTGATATGCTATAAACGAAACAGCTCACAAGATGGCAGCAACGCACTGTTTGGAGAGCTGTAGCAAACGCGATGGGCAAAAGTATTTGTGAGCCCCATAACGCTGTAAAAAAAAGCTCGTCTCGACGCAATAAGCGTTAAATGGAAACACTGTAATCACTTTAAGATAGATATTCTAGGGCAGAAAAACAATCGGATTTCAGTCATATGAAAGCACTATTAATGTAAAAGCTGTCACAAAAAAATTCCCATGCCATCAGTGCCAGGGTGACCCTTGAAAAACTGTTGAGAACATTCCATTCTCTAATTGTGTAGATGTCTCAAACTTCACGATCAGCATATCCCTTCAGAAGGAATATCTCCTACAGACTCTTGATAAGGAGACCTATTGTCCATCATTATTCATATGTATATATATATTTAATTATTGAAACTTGGTCATTGCAAGCAAAAGAGGAAATACTGATATCTTGGGCAAAACAGCAAACCCTTCCATTATGAAATGGAGAATGAGTTATAGATATCATTATAGTTTTTTGCCAAACATTGGTCATGTTAAGCCTTGTTTTCAATATATGTGAAAAATGAAATTTCTTTTGGTGCTGGAACAGGCATTGGTAAGTTCTTAAGCTCTTTTAAAACCCCAGCACTCCATTGTCTCCTTATGTCCAGGCATCCCCTGGGGAGCAGAAGCCTCACTGGCTTTCTTGAAAGCTACAGACCTATGGCAGAGACTTTTATGCAACCAACATACTCTCTAAAGTATAGCTCTTCATTTAATTTTAGGTTAGTAGTGTAACTATATTAGAAGCAATGAGCAATGATTATGCTGCTCTGTGAACAGCTTTGCCCCTACATTTATCAAACTGTGGTGCATCAGCTCTCTGTGGTGAGTTCAGTCTCTACAAACATTGCTGCCTTAATCTCTTTTAATCAGCAAGGACCTTAATCCCCCTCTCCAAAATTAAATGTCTTCAGAAAAGGGTGGATTAACTAAATGATGTATAACCACAATACTGGGTGCTTCTCCAGTGTATAATTGGGGTATCTAGTATATAAAAAGATACTAATAAGATGGTGTAAGGCCGGCATAAATGCAGATACAAGAGGTCAGAAAACCAGCAAAGCCATGAATGAATAAGCTTTCTTCTTTATTATCCCCAAGTTCCATCACTTCCTTCCTTTTCCATAGAAACTTCAGATATCAGTAGGTGAAGGAAAGAGGGATCAGGAAATGGGAGGGGAAAATTTGCTGTGAACAGCAACTTCCTAGCTGCAGGTATGCCTCGATAGATGTCTGGACCAGCGGCTCCACTCCTTGAGGATGTTGTCCATTCGAGCTGTGGCTTCACTGGTAAAAATTATTTACCTTGGATATAAAAAGTCTGGTGGCCAAGTCACAGAGCTCACATTCAGAAAATTAATTTCCCTGCAGTGGTCCTGACTGGTGGGACTGGGTGCCAGTTGAGGGCACCGAGTTTAAGCAAAGGTGGCAAGGAATACGGTTGGCAAAGCAGGAAGTACCATAACCTGTCCCTTTGCAGCTGCCCACTTTCACATCCAACTTCTTGTCCTCTCTAGTATATTCTTTCTTCCATCTTTTGCATCAACTCTTGCTTTCATTTGTTGCAGAAGGTTTCAGTTTGACAGCTCTCTCTCGAGTAAGACCATGCTTGCTGTTTGATAAAGCAAGATGTACTTTTATAGCTTTCTATTGATTTTTTTTTTTTAATTTTTTTTTTAGTAGCTGATATATATAGTCCCTGTTCTCAAGCCCAGTTTGCTGAGAAGGAGACCAAGGATCACTGCTTATGATACAGCAAGCTACAAGCTGTAACAGTCTTTGTGGTGGGCTTAACTAAGTAAACCAATACATGCTCAAAGGCATGCATGTGGATAATATTATTTATACAACTGTATTTCTTATGCCCTGCTGCAGTCTATTACCAGCTCACCAACACACAGATGCAATTCAAAAGAAACTATGCTGCTTGCAAACCTTTTCTTTACCTGTGCAATCAAGGTTTTCAGAGACAGGAGGCGTCCTTGGAAAGCAGCCTCATGAAGAGGGGATCGGTCAGCCCAGCTGCCTGAAAGCAAATGCATAAACGTTAATTCAGGTAAGCAGCAAAAGCAGATCCCAGGAAAACAGGTCAAAAACAGCTAGGTGCAAATGCAGATCAGGACAGAAATCAATGTGGCATCAATGATGAAACTGTTTGATGAATTGGTTTCAGCAGAGCAGCTGAGGGCACAGCACTCCTGAGAAAGCTGGGGCTGGAGCTCATGAAGGGACCTAAAAAGCTTCTTGGCAGAACTTTCAAAACCAGCTAAAAACATGCTTCAGCAAAGACAATGAGTTTAGTGCTGCTGGGACTTACTTAGGGACTTCAGAGCCGTGACATTCTATCAAAACCGTATCGGCCTCCATCTTTTGAAGGAAGCTTTTGTCACGAATCATGTTCTAGAATCTCTTGCACTCTGTTAAGAGACTCATAGCAGGGAGACACTGGGGTGACTTGTCTATCAAATGAATTCTGGCATGTCCCTGGTAGTTTTATTTCCTGAACTGTCAATTTATAAATAATATCCTCTATCCTACCAGGTAACAGGATTCATTCTCTCTCTCACTGGAAGGTTTCAGAAAAGACATGGAAAAATAAATCCTGCCTGAGGTTTTACTTTTCTTCCTTAATCATTTTGAGTTGTTGAACTGTTCAGACTCTTTCATGTAGGCTAGCTTGCCCTTTCTCTTATCTTAATCTACTCATTTGCCAAGAAAAAAATAATTCCCTAGGCTAGGTCCCTGCAGGCATCGTAAGTCATCCCAGGTTAAATCCCTGCAAAAAAAAAAGTAGAAAGCAAATTTGCTTGTCCTATATTAAAATTTATAACCATATGAGGGTACAGTATGTAGAAAGTATTTCTACAAAGGCCAGCTGTATTTACAGTGCCACAGGACAGAAGCAATACCAGTGTTTGCTTTCATGCTCTGCTGTACAGCAGCCCCATGAGCACTGTATCTGAAACCCCTGTCTTGTTTAATTTTTTCAGCTATGCTGCACACCAGAGAGAATGGGAAGGGTGATTTATCTCCATTTCAGGTGTTAGGCAAGGCAGGAAGAAATCAGTGAGAGGCACTGACACGTCCCTGGGGACTTGAGACCAAGGACACAGCAAAGGTCTCAGCCTTCGCCAAGGGAATTTCCTTTTGTTACCTGAGAACTGGGATGCACTTCAGCTCATGGGGTTATGGTTTTAACTATAGTTATTACTTTTGTTCCCATTTATTTAAGAAGCTGTTCCTAGGATCCTAAAGCAGGAAGCTGGCATGGAAGGATATGACCAGGCTCCTAAGGACCAAGTAGGAGACACCAAGTGAAATGATGGAAACAGGAAACAGGTAGGAACTGAGAAACACTTTCCTGAAAACATCCCAAAACCTCCTCATCCCTCATCATGCTGGTGTCTGAAATAGGCGAGCTTAGTTCAGAAAGTCAGAAGACATTACAAATGACAAAAACTAGGGTTCTTATATGGCAGGATGATCCAGATGTAAGTCCGGCAATAGAGCTACAGTGCCTTATTTAAACTTTAATGCGTGTAGCATGTGCAAGCGCACATCACATGCCTTTACAACACATGTGTATGCACACACACGCCTCACCATGAAAACACATGCTGCTGTATACTTCCATGCTCGCCACAGCAACCTACCTCCCTGAAACATGTGGCAAATATAGTTTCCATACATGGCACATCTTCCCTTCCCAGGTGTGAGTGACATGACTGAAAACACCGCGTCGTTCTAAATGTCTACAGATAAATTAAGCAGCCCTGCTGATGTTGCTGCTGCTGCTGCTGCACTACTTCACTGTAAAGAGAAAAGGCTCTGAAGGTCCGCCTGTAATCCAATATAATGCCCAGCAACCGCATCACATGATCTTATGTTTTGTAAGATTATCCTTAATGGCTTTTTGCAAATGGCAACTTGCAGATAAAAATACGTTCTGGTCTGCTAAACTTCAATTAGGTAAGAACCAGCATGAACGTAAAGAATGCTGTTTGCCATGTGTCTGACTACAGTTGCACGAAGGCAGTTGGAAAAAAAGAATGACAGTAATAAATGATTGGAATTATATTACAGAGAACAGCAAATAAATTAATAACCCAGGCATGTCTGTGTATAAAAGTTTTGTAAAAAATGCTTTGCTGCAGTATTTCTCTTGGCCAGATTTTAATCTCTCTGCTTTGAATGGCTTACCTCACACCACCCATGTTCTGCTCACATTCATGTACCTGTTCATGGTGTCATTATTCATCACAAAGCAAGTGCCCAGCAAGTGAGTCACATAAAGATCTGTGATGTCACAATATTGATAAGAATCCTCATTGGTAGTAAAATTAAAATACTGTGTAATTTTACGTAGTGGAATTACCGGGCACGCAAACATGTGTCTACTCACTATCGTGACAGCAGTATGAAAGAGTAAAATCATGTGGAAAACAAAAAAATAAATTACCTACTCAATAGCATACTAAATACAACATATTCCCATGCCATATATTTTCAGAATAATTTTAGCTGTATTCGTTTTTAACATCTGATTTAACAAAACAGGGGTTCTTGGCTTGGGTTCATAAAGGCATTAGTTATATCCTCCTAGTATCTCCTTTCAGAAAATCAACATGCTAAAACTTTCTCCTAAATATCTTTTGGCAGTAAAGCTGTCTATTTAGTAAAACCATATGTAACACCCACTAAAGGATGCCTTACTTCCGAGAACAATCTTCTTGTTTACCATAGTGCCTTGAGCAAGTGTTGTCCTCATTCTAGCTGAGTAATTGTTGGTGTCTCATATTTTGCACACCTAAATCATGCCAACACATACTGATACCACAAAGACCCCAGAAATGGAAGGAACTTCAAGTTAAAACATCCACCCGTGGTTTTAGCAATAGATTCCTCATTTCATGGCAGCTCCATAATTTAAATCCTCAACTTAGAAAAATTATAGCGAAAGTATGTTTAAATATTAGAGTGTCCATATTTTTACATTACCTGGAACTATTCCGTAGATCTCTTCTGCTATCCTGGCAGCCTCTTTTCTGTTGCCTTTAACAATGTAGAAATGGGTCAGCAAAGCCAAAGAAATCTTAATTAAAAGCTTGAAGCAAAACAAAGCAAAAATAGCAAAATAAATGTTAGTGAAACTATGGAGTATAGAAGTGCCCTCCATTTTGATTTGCTCTTTGAATAGTTTCTCAGGTCTGCTAAGCTGCACCAGGCTATTCTTGGTATCATATGTCATCTATTTTAAACCCTCCAGAACCTGCTGTTCCTCAGTTACCAAAAATACATTCTGGTTTTATTTGGTGTAGGCTATTTGATACTAAATAACAATACCAAGGATAAGATAGTTTGAATATCCCATGCCATACAGTAAACAAACAGAAAATCCTCTCCAAACCTACATAAATTGGAATAAATTTTTAGATAGATGCTTTTCATACCGTCTGGAAACCTGTACTTCCACATTACATTTATTCCTTGATGTAGCAGTTCCATTTACAAAGGCTGCACAGGTAAAGTTGCAGAAATTGTTCTGAGATAGATAGATACTGCAAAAAGACTACAGTTCTGTCTTTCCCATCTTGGCAACAGGCCTTACTGGTATTCAAATACAGAACAAAGGCGAGAATATCAAAGAAAAGCATTGTCATGAAAGAATCTGAAATGGAACCACATATTTTCAAAGTCAGGGTGAAGAAGTCAAAGATATTCTAGGAGGCAAAAAAATTGAAATTCCGTAACCAGAAACATGTGCTAACATACTGGTGGTTTACACCACTCAGGGATAAAGAATGGTGTCTATTAATGTCTCTTGCACTCAGCATCTTACTGTTTTAAAATAATAGGAATATTTTTACACCATCCATCATTGATTCACAGGTGTAAGGAGCCTTTCTTTAACTACCCTTCTTTCTTTCTGAAGGTACAAGTATTTTTTCTGCATGTAATTAATTGAATCTATGTAGAACACCCCATCTCCTTTTCATTTAAACTTGTCTTGATTCCTATTTTGCTATTTGCACAGCAGGATGGAGATTTACTTTCTTTGAAGCCCCTCCTTGCTTAGGTTCTCTTACCCGTCAATTTGTACACCTGTCAAGAGAAAGAGCAGGATGACTCTCTCAGAGATCCCAAGGAGATGGTGGATATGCATAAGGACATTTTAGAGCAAATTATTTAACTGAACATTTTGGCTGCAATTTGTTTTGGTTTGTAGCAATAATGCTGGCTTAGTATCTTGCTGCCTTCAGCACACTGCCCTCTGAGGTACACTAGAACACTATTTAAGATGCATGCAGACTGACTGAAAAAACCCACCCAAGCTGGCTTTTTTTTTGACTTTTTAAGTGAACCAAATTTTCTAAAATTCTGAATTAAACCAGTATATTACATTTTTACCAATAACTTAACACCTTCCATAAATATTACATGTACCTTACCTTCCACAGTAATAAAATATATCTGTAGAAGCTATAATAGCTATGAATCCAAAAGGGGAAACTACCTATTTGTAATCGCTTTAGTACTGGATGAAACAGCTGAAGACATGGATTGCATGGCAAGAGAAGTTCAGTTAAAGAATCAGAGAAAAACAGTTAAGTTCGCTCAAATGGGAAAAAAAAAAGAAGGCATTATTAAACAAAGGTGGACCAAAAAAGGGGTGATCAGTTAGCCCTAGAAAAAAAAATAACGAGAATACTCCTCTGGAAGCCAGAGGAATAGCAAAAGGTGTAAAATTCAGCAGGCAGAGAAAAGGAACAAATGGAGGGAAAAAAAATCATTATAAAGAAAAAGCCAGCCTAAATGATGGAGAAATCTTTCTCGTATAGTTATCTACAAAACTGACACTCGTTAACACTTAAGCAAGAAGGAACAGCACCTTCTTCGAGAAAGACCAGAAAATAGGCCTTTGGTTTCAAAAGAGATCCACTGATCTTTCACAGTCAGCCTGCCAGATATTAGGTAGTTTTGTACAAGACCACATCCCTCAGGAAATACAAGAAACTGGAGACCAGGTGATTTCCATAGAAATTCTCTCACCCTGAAAGAAAGCTGAAATTACAATAATACTGAAGAGATCTCCAGGTGTTCTAAAATACCATGAGGAAGTTTGCTCACCTGGAAGCAGCCACAGGAATGTGACTTTTCCAGAAGGACAAACTATTTGCATGATAGCAAAATCACCCTCCTGGCTTCAGAACAACTAAAGATTTTAAGTTAAATGATGTAATCATTTGAGAAAATCTCATGTAATCTCTTCATCTGCTCTTAGCGTACAAGAACACCAGGAAAATTACAGCACTGGATAGAAAAAAAAAGTATATATATCAGTGGGAAGACAGCTGAACAGCTTGGTGGGAAGCATTAATACTGGTGAAGGTGGTAAGGTCAGGTAAAATCAGATAAGCTGTAGCAAGATCAGGAATGATTAGTCAGAAACATTTGGTATTCCTGAAACTAAAGAACAGTGAGCAACATAACATAATGTCCTGGGTTCAGCAGTAGCAGTCATTTTTCTCCTTCTTAGTAGCTGGTGCAGTGCTGTGGTTTTGACTTTCAGCCTGGGAACAGCGCTGATAACACCGGTGTTTTTAGTTGCTGCTCAGTAATGTTTACTCTGACCAAGGACTTTCTGAGTTTCATAATCTGCCAGGGAGGAGGGGAAGCCGGGAGGAAGTAGAGACAGGACACCTGACCCAAACTAACCAAAGAGGTATTGCATACCACAGCATGTCATGCCCACTATATAAACTGGGGGCAGTTACCCAGAAGGGTTAGATCACTGCTCGGGTCAGGCTGGGTATCGGTCGGCAGGTGGTGAGCAGTTGTATTCTCTTCCCTTGTTATTTCCCTTATCGTTATTATTATTGGTGGTAGCAGTAGTGGTTTGTGTTATACCTTAGTTACTGGACTGCTCTTATCTCACATTCTTTCCATTCTCCTCCCCATCCCTCTGGGGGCAGGGTTAGGAAAGGGGGGAGGGGGAGTGAGCGAGCAGCAGCATGGTTCTAGGTTGGCTGCTGGGCTTAAACCACGCCACATAGGTATAACATAGGAGAACAATAACAGTGCAAAACCAGGAATCTCATCTTTTCTCCCTTGCTGTTTTGGGCTGCATCATAGTCAGTTGAATGAGATGGATTATTCCACTCCATCGATAGACCGAACAGGTCAGCCCTCCATAGGAAAAACATGTCTTACTCAGAACTTGTGCAAGATGTCCAAATTACTCAACAAATCATTCTAGAGTAATAACTAAATTGTCAAATCAAAATCCAGGAAACACATTAATCCTTCAATAAAATTGTCATGAGATGGTGAATGGTTTAGCTAGACCCTCCAAAGAACTGGAAATTGATGACAATATATACTTAGTTTATAAACATGCAAAGAATAAGCACAAAAGAAAAAGGCAGTGCAGCTTAGATGACTTGTTTGCACTACAGTTCACTTTAACTTTAGTCAATAGTAAGAAATGCCAAACACTCCTGGTCACATCTGACAATGAAATAAAGATTAGAGGGATCCCCTTCTCAAAGAAATTAAGAGGTCTATTCTTATGCTAGACAATCCTTGAATTTCAGCAGTGTATTTCTAATGTGTATAGTTGAGAGTATCAAATATATTCAAAGTAAGACAACTGGGGAAAAAAAGGAGACAGAAACTGTTTATCTCGAAGGGAAGAGATCAGAACAAAGACATACAGAGAGCCCAGCTATCTCTTTTTCATCAGTTTGATCTAATAAATGACACTGCTTCTCATACAAGCCTTGTCTCATTTGCATCCTTAGGTCAGCACACTTACAACACTCCTGCTTTTAAAAAGAAATGTATATAGTGACTCACTGTTGCTGTCAGACAAGCAGACAAAGGAGTCATCTGCCCTACCCAGCACCCATCACACTAGGCAAGGTCTGCTTACCTGTTCTGCTGCTGCCTGGGTAGGAAGACTGCAAATTCCAGCAGGTATTTCCCACTCTGCCTTCAACACATGTACTAGCAGGGATGACTCCTTCTCCAGATACACACCATCAGTCCTTCCCACTTCCACAACCAGCTTAAGAGCCAGCATCTACTAGACAGCCAGCTAATGCACGATTCAATGAATCCTGCACAAATACTATCTCTAGAG